GTGTCTAATACTCTCTTTGCTTCTTCCAACGGAATTCTACTGCCTGGAGATATGCCAAGTACTCCAACTGATGAGACACATAGTAAGCCAATCATTCTTCTCTTCTCAAACGACCAATTCCTAATGTGAGGGAACAATAATCTCAACTCAGATAGCATCGGACCGTGTGAAGGAGACACACCGATCTCTTCCCAAAATGGCTTATGATCAACCTCTACCTTATCATGTATGTTGAAAGGCTCACAATTCAAACCTGTTATTTCATCATACTCATGTAACGAAAATCTAAGTAGCTAATCTTCTATTAAAGACCATATCTCATGGATATTATCGACTACCAGCTGGTTTGTCAGTAAATGGTGAACAACTTGGGCTGACAAAATATAATCCAGCTCTTTCAACTTCAGAATAACTCCAACAGCTGACTCTTTAATGGATTCTCACGCATCTAGGCCAACTGATTCCTCCACCATCTGCAAACTAGCCAAGTGACAATTATGATTCATGCTTCGATATTGCAATGGACATTTCCCCTCTTCGTAAAGTCTTGGTGGATATGTTTTTGGGCAGTTGGATGCACTCATCTCTCTGTCAAAATTGAACAATGTAGTAAGAAATATGAAATTTGATTTTTCCAGAAACATGCAAAAGAGTCTGATAATTTTTCTAGCAAATTCAATTATACTCAAACTGATATCAACATATGTACATGCAAAAACACTTATACCAACTGTTTTAAAAAATAATCGAATTGATTGAACTAAAAAAAAAAATGATTATGCTCAAAATAATCTAAGACTAACTTTGATGGCACAAATATGTGATTAAACTAACTAGAGTGGAAATGAGCTTGTAAGAGTGTCAAAATCAACGAGATCAACGAGTTCTTCGATGGGGTTTCAGATTAACTTCTCCTATGTGAATCAAATGTGTTAGTGGTAGAATAGGGTGCGGGAATGACTGAATCGGCGAGAAATCATGACGAAAAACAGAGAATAGAGAGTTTGAAGATTTTGATATTTGGGGATTTAGGGTTCATGTGTCGTGGGGGGACTTGTCGGGGAAGAAAAGATGAGGCGTGGGGGGAGTTTTTTTTTTATTGTTTTTTTCCTAAACCAAAGCTTCTCTTTGGAATAGAGTCTTTCTTCAATTTTTTTTTTTTGTATTTTCTAACACAAAGCTTCTACTTGGTTTAGAGTCTTTCATTAAATTGACAAAAAAAAATAACTTCTCCTTGGCATTTCAGTATTTTGCTCACATTTTTCTTCTTCCTTTATTTTGTTGTGTTATTCTAGTCAATACTGAAAAATATATGTTATTCTAAGTAATTTCCCTAAATTGAATGGAATTTTTTACCTACTCATCAACTTCAACAAGGGTATAGACAGAAATGTACGACCATATTATAACTGAATGTGTACTTTGACCTTAGCCTGAACTTTTGCTGGTTTGTTCCATCAACTATGATGTTCAAAATGATGAATGGGTGAGAGAAGGAACGTAAATGAAGGAATCAACAAGCACATCCGCCAATTTCTGAGTAAAAAAACAATCACACCCTCTCATTCTCAAACCTCTAAACCAAATTGAAATAAAAAAAAAAAAAATCAAAAGAACGAAAGAAAAAAAAAAACAAATTGAAAAGTTTTCTTCCTCCACAAGAAACAAATAATCCAACAAAACACTATACGAACGAGTAAGAAGATCAAAGAGAAAGAGAGAATGAATACAACTTCAACGAAGAACGTGTGCGGAGACAAATGGTACCTTAACCTAGACAAGCCTGAAGAGGCTTTGAAGGTTCTTGGCTTCATCGCTATTTTCGTCATCAGAACTCTCCTCCATCATTTCATGAAGCCTTTAGGCCAACCTTACCTCACCACCGATTTTGCTGTATGTCTCATGCTCTTCTGATAATTCCCAAAAAAATAAATAATCAAAAACTTGTTGTTGTGTGCATGCAGATAGGCCTAATTCTAGGTAACCTTCCAAAGTTTCGAGAGGCATTCTCGGGGCCTTACTCAACTACTCTCAACAACATAATCGAATTTGGAATGATCTGTCATATGTTTGTAATGGGTCTTGAGATGAATCCAAGCGTCCTCCTAAGGCCACCAACAAAAGACGCATTCATGGCATACATAAGCATGTTCACAACCTTTGCCATCGCCTTTGCCACAACACCTTTCCTTCATTACACAAAAACCGCTCCTTTCGTTTTCTCCTTAGCTCTCTCCCTCATGGCCTCAAGCACCGGCTCACCTATCCTCACCCGCGTCATCTCAAATCTCAAGATCAGAAAATCTGATCTTGGCAAGCTCGCTTCAGCCGCAGGTGTCCACACAGACATGATCTCAACTTTGGTTTACTGCTTCGGATTCATTTTCTTCCCTACAGAGAAACCTCTCCCTCGTCCTCTCCAGAGATTCATGAGAGCCCTCCTCATGTTTTGCCTCTTCCTTGCTCAAGTCACTTTCACTTCCATTGTTTCCCCAATCTTTCTTAACTGGGTCAACAACGAGAACCCTGAAGGCAAACCACTCAAAGGCTCTCACCTCGTTATGTCCTTAGCATTTGTTGTCTTGATTTGTAGTTTCCCAACTTGGCCACCTGAGTCAATGTACAACCCGATCCTCAGCGCCTTCACGGCTGGTCTCTTCCTTCCAAACCAAGGAAGAATGTCTAAATGGATCATCAACAAAATCAACTACTTGCTCAGCACGGTGTTCTACCCTATCTTCTTCTTTTGGGTTGGATTCATTATCCACATGAAAAACTTTGACATTGGAGATAAAATGGCGTGGGCGAGATTCTTTTCTCTTCTTGGCACTGTCATAGCCGGAAAAGTCATCGGAACAGTGTTGTGTGGTGTACTACTCGGATACCATGTCAAGGAAACCGCATCTCTTGGACTGCTTTTGACCACGAAAGGCCACTTTCATGTCTACTTGGCCGCTTTAGCCATTCGGGTATATATATATCTATACATCAAGCTTTGATCTCTATTCTTTACAATAAAAAAATATCTTACCTGTTGTTTGGTTCAACTGCAGACAAACAGGGTGAAAAACACAACTGGTGCAATGATGATCTTCGTCATTGTCCTAACAGTGGTATACTCTCCATTCGTTGTCATGGACATTATCAAAAGAGCAAGAAAGCGAGTCCCTGTACACATCATGGCGCTTCAATGGCTAGATCCAACAACCGAGCTTCGTGTCTTGATGGGTCTACATGGCCCCCATAACATCGGCTCCACGCTCAACCTTATGGAGATCTGCCACGGAGGACGTGAGCCAGGGTCCATATACTACGCTACTGATATGGTTGAGCTGACTGATGAGATCGCCGCCACACTGAAAAAGGACGGCCGAGGAGGTCAGAATAATGATTCAGTGACGGTAACAGACAGGGCGGTGACAGAGATGCGTGAGAGTATAACCGCTGCTGTGAATGGTTACGGTGAGCTCCGAAGTGGGCAAGGTGTCACAGTGCGTCGGATGCTAGCGTTGTCAACGTTTATGACCATGGCACACGACATCTGCGGTTTGGCTGATGAGCTTATGGTTTCCATTATAATCTTACCGTTCCATAAACGTAGAAGTCCTGATGGCACTCTTGACTCTGGCCATGCCGGGTTCCGCCATGTGAACCGCAAGATTCTGAAGAACGCACCGTGTTCGATTGGGATTCTCGTGGACAGGTCGTTCGGGCAAACGGAAGAGGCGTGGAGACCAGGAGCGTCCATGGACATTGCTATCATATTCATAGGTGGTAGAGACGACAGAGAGGCACTAGCCTTTGCTGCACAAGTGGCTAGACACCCTGCTGTGAAGCTAAGCGTTATACGTTTCTTGGAAGACAAGAGCACTCAGAACGCACAGAAGCGCAGCAGCATATTGAACAGAGCGAGCGTGGTGGAGCAAGAGGAGGAGATGAAGCTTGATGATGAGTGTTTCGCTGAGTTTTACGAAAGATATATAGCTGGTGGAGGAAGAGTGTCTTACATGGAGAAGCATCTCACAAACTCTTCGGAGACTTTCACAGCACTCAAGTCACTGGATGGAGAGTATGGGTTGGTGATTGTTGGGAGAGGAGGTGGAAGGGCGAGTAGTGGGTTAACCACTGGTTTAAATGATTGGCAGCAATGTCCAGAGCTTGGTCCCATAGGAGATGTTCTTTCTGGATCAGATTTCTCACACAACACATCGATGTTGATTATTCAGCAGCAGCGTACACGTGGTCAGCTAGAAGGGCTTCATGATGATTTCACCATCCTGTAAATATTTGTTCAAATGCATTCACTTTGTAGCTTGAGGGTCACAACTCTTATTGTACAATAGTTCAAAGATTAAGTGGTTTTCGATGGAAAAAATGGTAAAAAAAAGAAAAGAAAAGGTAGTCTAAGCAAATACTTGCTAGCCGCTTGAAAATGGTGTCCGGAAGATAGAGTTAAAACAAACTACATGAAGATACGTTTCTGATTTATACAAACACGATTAGGAAAAAAGTCCACATTATAAGTCTTGTTGTTGTCCTGTTGATGATTAGATAAAGAAACTTGTAAATATCGATGAGAACTCTGAGTTCCTTAGAGCATCTCCAATGGTGTTACCACCATTGGAGTCCTTAACCTTATTTTAGTTTTTTTCTTTTTTTTTTAAATAGGTAAGGATCTTAATCAAAAACATTTGTCCAATGGTGTTACCTAATTAAAAGTCCTTAAGAATTAAAAATATATTAAATTATAAAATTTGAGAAATTTTTGTTTGTGGAAGAGAAATAATGAAAACACCTTAAAATGCAAGTATGCAACAAACATATGGACTTACTAATAACTATCAGATAACAAGAGTGTTGCTAATGATTAAGTGATTGACTCTAATGTCATATACAGATGAATTAACACATAGAGAACAAAAAACATACACACACATTAGATAATGCATGCTCAGAGAGGTATGTGAGGAGGAAACGTACGTGAGTATATGAGTTTCTTGTTAAAAACATCCCAAGATCCCAACATATATCTGCTCCGTAATCTGCAAATGACCAACCAACAAGAGAAGAATGGTGCTGAGAGATTGAACAAAAAAAGAGAAAGAATCTTAGAGAACTAAATTTACAGACCTTACTGTATCGCATTCCAAGAGCATGGTTATAATGCAGCTCTCCTTTGGACCGGTCAAGGGCTTTCATAAACTCATCAATCGCTTCAACAACCGCAATCTCATCCATACCAACTTCACATTCCACAAAAGCTACAACAGCTCCACGTGGCTCTAGCTCGCTTAAAAGCTCTTGAACCCGAACCTTCAACCTCGAATCATCACAAAACCCTTCTTTCTTCTCCTGCAACACATCACGAAACAGAATCGCCCTCGCTTCATCGAGCTTCCCTTGCTTGATGAGACATGTGCATAGATTACAAGCCTTGTTTGCATCTGGCTCTACAACTTGAGCTTTACAGTACACGGTTTCAGCCGCTGTGTAGTTTTTTAGCTGCATATAAGCCCATCCCAAGTTTCCTTGTAAACACACAAGTTTCTCATCAACTTTCCATAATAAAACCTCTATGATCAAAACTAAACATCACTGAGATTAAACCGTACCAAGATCCTAGAGGTCTCCTTCTCAACTGTGACCCTAAACATTTATCATCCAAAGCTTCTGCTTCAGTAACTCAACTTGCTCTTCTATTCTCCCACACTTCTGATCAAATTTCAAAAATCTTGTCAATTTTTACAATCTCAACAAACAGAATTGGTTGTTTGTTGGTCTGAGAAATGTTTTGTACCTTATAGAGATCGATGAGGACATTGTCAAGTGATTCTTGAGCTTGTCTGGAACAAAGATCTCTAAAGCACTGAATAGCTTCAATAGCTTCATCAGCTCTGTTCTGTTGTTTCATAAGCAAAGCCATGTCTTTAAGAGCACTATCTACTCTGTCTCTCGCTTTAATCGCTTTCCAGAACAGAGGAATAATCCATCACTCGCTTTACCTCTTCAATCAAACTGAGAAGCTTATAATCCATCACTCGCTTTACCTCTTCAATCAAACTGTCACAATCAGATGCAGAAACCAAAATATACATCAGAAAATAAACAATACAGTAATCTGATCAACACACATGCAAAACTGCTCCGTATCCAATCGACCTCGAACGATTTTACTATTCACAAACTACAGATAATAAAATAGCGAGAGAGAGAGAGAGATACAAACTATTGAAATCAACATGTAGCAACTCCAGATCCACAAAAAATCAAGTAGAAGTCTTCGATTTACCTTCAACAACACCGTCGCCTTTGGCCTTTGGTATCACCTTCGTCTCGAGGTTTTTTTTTTCTCGCCACAATGAAATTTTTTTTCTCAATCCAAAGCAGGCCCAATCACACCCGCCACATCAGCAAGGATCAGCCTCTTATATTCTTTGTATAAGGATTAATCCTTACCTTGTGGAATTAACATATTAATTTTTTATTTAATTTTTCCTAGGTTTCACCTCTAAGGATTTGGGTTCAACCCGCGTTGCGGCTGCTCTTAGTACTACGTACTGAGCCGAAAACTTGGCCATCTCTGCCTGAAAAAAAACAAATACACAGAAGGGTAAAGCATAATTAAGGCGCAGTGTATAAAAAACTACATCAAACGCTACCATTTGATATTCCATATCTGTCTAGCAGCTATAGCTAATAAACAACAAACCGATTACAAACAGATAACTATAGAGAAAGAATATTCTCTACTAAGTGGTTCTCATTTTACACAGTAAAAATCCTGATCATGACACTTGAAAAAGAGTCTTTATAACCTAAAACTGGTTCTTGAGAAAGTCAAGCTCCTTGTCGAGGTCATTGATGGCCTGATTGTATGCTTTCATCGGAGAAGACTGGTTTGTAGTGCGAATCTGGAAAAACAGAGCCAATTCATAGACAAAATCAAAGATATTGTTATGTTTGGTCTGAACTCTAAGTTTGTTATGTTTGTGATATTATTACTATGAGTTGGTCTGAAGTCTAACACAAGTCAGAAAACTAGTGTCAACATGATATATCATGGATTTTACCTATTTTCAACCATGATTTATATATGTTTTTGGAAACAATAGGATACTTTTAGTGTCTTTTTAAAGCTTTTACAGATTCAGGTACTCAATGGTATAAAACATGCATTTTGGAGCTAAGATGGAGACTTTATGAAGATATGAACAAAACGATGTTTAAGCTATCGATCGATGCACGTTGAGAGTAATCGACCGATAGAGGATTATCCGTATCGATCGATAATGTATGCATCGATCGATACATAAGTCATCCAAGCGATTAAATGAAGATTAGAAGCCCTAATTGCTTCACAAGAGTTTTAATAATTTACACACTAAGTCCCTGGCCACCTGTAAGGCTATATTAAGAGGGTTTTGTACTAGTTTAGGTAGACAATCTTGGAGACCTTTTAGACCTAATAAGGAGAAGCATCTAGCTACCTTTAGAAAAGAGTTTGATGGAGAGAGAGATCTGAAACTACAATTACAGAGAAGATCTTGAACTCCCTTTTTACTTATTGTTTCTTTTTATTATTATCTTAAAGTATTATTCAGACCATCATGACTTTGTCTCTCATGAATATGTTTGAGTAGTCTCTCTTGTTAGATTTAGGTTTCTCATTAAGGTTGACTCATGCATTGAATAAAACCATTATTAGGGTGTTTAAAATATAGTTCTCAATCTAGTTATCAATGAATGCTAAGGCNAGGTTTCTCATTAAGGTTGACTCATGCATTGAATAAAACCATTATTAGGGTGTTTAAAATATAGTTCTCAATCTAGTTATCAATGAATGCTAAGGCCAAGGATTGATCACCCTTACCTCTGATATTAGGGTCAATTTGGACAAGCGATAGCTTGGCAAATCCCCTAAGTCTAAAGTTAATTTAATGAAGACTAGATACCTCTTTCAAACTTACCTCTACCACTTTCTGGTGCGATATCGATCGACGCAGCGACAGCCGTGTCGACCGATATAGCAGTTTTAGCATCGATCGATAGTATCGACATAAACATCGATCGATATTCCCTTCAGGTTATCGGACGATAGTCCTAACCCGAGGTCCAGTGGAGTTAATCCTTAAACCTCCTTAAAAGTTTGAATCTAGCACTATGAATAATAAAAACCCTTTACAACTTGCATGTATGTCATACCTGAGAAATACCTAAGTTTAACTACCTTCTTCCTTCTTAACAAATCAACCAATCAATCAAGCAATTATTTGCGACCTTTTAAATTACTGTTTAAAATCTTATCATCTAACTTTATTTCGAAGACTTAATAATCTGTTGTGTAATTTTAGAGTCTCTGTGGATTCGATCCCTAAGTACTACAATTGAACCTCTTTTGATGAGAGTAATTCACTCCTTAGGGTAATTTGAGTGATATCAAATTTGGCGCTGTTTCCGGGGACTCTTTCTTATTACCACCAGATTTAGTTTAGAATATAGTCTAGAATTTTTATTTATTGTTTACTTAATTCCTTTTTGTTCTTTCTCTGATTATCAGGGGACCCAAGATGGAAAAGACGGATTTCAGCCTGGTATCGACCGATGACGTGACTGGTACATCGAGCGACATGTTGACCGAGAAATCGATCGACATAGACCATCTCACATCGATCGATATAATCGAGCCGGAAGCAGGTAAGTCTTTACTTACCGATTTGATTAATGAGGAAGTAGTCCCAAACGAACCAGTAGGTCAGTTATGTAATAAAACAAATGAATTTACAGTTAAACAGGGGACTGAAGTCCCTGTCAATAACCATCCATCTTCAACTGAAGATGTAGAAAAATTGCGCGACTATTTAGATCCCATTAAGACCTATTTCAATAGGTCAGCTATCAGACTACCAGATGATGAAGTAAATAAGTCCACTCTTGATTTAGACTTCATCAATCTGGTACAAAAGAATCCCTTATGTGGTTCTGTCTCAGATCACCCCCATGAGCACATAGATTATCTAGAAGGACTCGCACTTAACGATACTAATCGTTGCAAAATTTTTCCTTTTTCCTTGGGGAGGGAAGCCAAAAGTTGGTTGAAACAAATACCAGCAGGATCTTTAACCTGCTGGGAAGACATTCGCACTGCTTTCATCAACGAATTTTTCGATGAGACCCGATATTGGGACGTGAGACATAAACTCTCCACTTTCCTTCAAAGCCCACGTGAATCTTTTAGAGACGCCTGGAATAGGTTTAATCATTTTCAGCGAGATTGTACCCATCATGGTTATTCTGAACCAGAGCTTCTTAAATTCTTTTACGGAGGTCTCGAGTTGGATTACCAGATCACGCTAGACAATGCGAGTAATGGAAATTTTAGCTCTAGGACTCCCGCAGAAGCAAATCATTTGATTAGAAACATAGCTATGGTTAAGTCTTATGAAACTAAAGATAGAGAACGANCATCATGGTTATTCTGAACCAGAGCTTCTTAAATTCTTTTACGGAGGTCTCGAGTTGGATTACCAGATCACGCTAGACAATGCGAGTAATGGAAATTTTAGCTCTAGGACTCCCGCAGAAGCAAATCATTTGATTAGAAACATAGCTATGGTTAAGTCTTATGAAACTAAAGATAGAGAACGAGGATCTAGATCAAAGAGCGAATCTCAATTAAGTGAAATTAAGCAATCACTAGATTCCCTTAACTCTCTCATTAGAAGAAGAGACTCTGATGTGACCCACTGCTATGGAAATGTCCATTCCATTGAGAAAACCTTCTTTAAACCAGAAATCCCTCAGGGGTATACTTTTAACATAGATGGTTTCACCCAAGGCTACGACACTTCCATTGGAGTAAACAGAGGAAGGGTCAAGACCAGGATGAACCACGTTCTCACAGAAAGTCAGAAACTAAAGTATACCCTAGACGCCAGGTTAGATAGCACCTGCAGCAAAATGTCGGAGGAACTTGACGCTTTGCGATGGAGAATAAGAGACCTTGAAAGTGACATTGCCCATACCGCAGAAAGTATCAAGAGAGAAGCAGGATGTCTGCCTGGAAAGGCTGATACAAACCCAAGACGTCACGTAAATGCTGTAGTTTTGAGAAGTGGAAAAGAACTAGCTCCAACCATTAGGGGAAACCCTCCTTCGGGAGAAGACACCGAAATTCCAAAAACGGAGAAACCCATTCATAATCCCATTCTACTCCGTGACTCGTTAACCACTAACCCTCAAAACAAGGAAAATGACAAGAAGGCTGAAGAGCCAGTGATCATTCTCGATGAGGAGGAGATTGACGATATCGATCGATACGATGATACTAATATCGATCGACGAACATCCGAAAAATCGAAAGAAAGTCCGATACCCACCGGACCAACTATAGAACGGGTGTACAACCCTTTACCTCCTTATCCTCGCAAATCTAATTCCACGCGCAACATGGATAAGGAAATCTGCAGACGGGCTTTTGAACGCATTAGTGTAGAAATACCACTTATTGACGCTATTCGGATTTCGCAACCTTACGACAATATGTCAAGGGAATGACAACCAAGAGTTTTTCAACAGAAAAACGTAGTGTCATGGTGCCTGCAGAAGCTAGTGCTATAATCCAAACCCCTGAAAAGAGACCCGATCCTGGTAGTTTTGTTCTCAGGTGTACAATCCGAGACAAGCTATTTCCGAGAGCACTCTGCGATCTGGGCTCTAGCGTAAATTTGATGCCGCATTCCGTTGCCACAGCCCTTGGGTATTCCGAATTTACACCAGCTAACATCCACCTAGTTCTCGCAGATAGATCTGTTAGGATCCCGGAAGGAGTACTCGAGGATGTGCCGGTGCAAATCGGCGGATGCAGTGTTCCGACAGATTTTGTCGTGTTGCATTACAAGAATGAACCAAGAGATCCGATTCTAT